AAATGGTTTTGCCTTTGAAATGAAGAAACCCCTTTTGACCAGTTTAACTTTATAGTGCAAATGTTTTTGTACACGTAAATATGAATTTCTGGCTGAATCTTCATGTTTCAATCCCCAATCACGTGGATTCTGTGGGTTGTCTGCAACTGCTCTAACTTTGGTTGCTTGTCCAGTTACAATTGTTTTTGCAAGAGCAGTAACAGTAACATTCTTCTTTTCCAATGTTGTTTGCCGAGAACAAACATCTTTGCACTTTGATGCAGTAATAAAACCAACTTTGTGCATATACCAATCATCACACTGCCACTGATCTCTGGTAACTTCTTCAACATGCTCTATTTCTTCATTACTGAATGTTAGATCTTTTAAAAACTTTTCAGGGCTATGTTCAGTTGTTTTTTTTATGTAAGTTTCTATTTTTTGTACTAAAATTCCAACCTGGGACTGAACACGACTCAAACCTGTAGAATTATTATTTTCACGATTGCATTTACCATTATTGGCCACAATGCGAGAATCATGTTGCTTTAAATATAACTTCCTCAGAAGTGGCAGTATAACTGGTTTACCTGGTGATGGAGAATCACTGACACTGCTGAGATTAATATTACATTTTGAATCCTCTACAGCACTGAGTCTTTTTGTAAACAATACTCGTTCCTTTATAGATGAGACTTTGCGATGTTTAGGGTTTCGTGGATCAAAGTCAATGTTTTGCAACCATGTGTATGTTCTTTTTCTCTCCTTACTTGCTGGTGGCTTGCTTTTGGAAATCAACAGTTGATCTACCGAACAAGGCTCACTGCATGATTGTGGTTTCGGCATCCACAAGCAAGGACCACTGGTCACACTTTTATCTCCATCTGGGTTTAACAGTGCCTCCAAAGAGTACATTGCAGCTGAAATGTGTTTGCAACCCCCGTCCCTACCACCCTTACATTTACAAAATGCATCCAGCACACTTCCTCTGTTTGCCCCTCGACCTTCCAGAATAAACCACAAGGAATAACAGTCTTTTCCATCATCGGTTTTTGCTCGCATGGTTGGTTGAACTTGGCCAATATATACATGTACCCCAGCTTCTTTTAAAGTTAATGTTTCCAAAGAACGTACATAACCATCTTGAAAGAGCCGGTAGTCTTCAAACGACTTGTAAGCAGCTAGGCCTTGTTTGTCATATTCAGTGGCATGATATATCAGGTGGTTAAAAATGTCGTATAGTCCAAACGGTGGAGAGTCAATAAAATCGTTTATTGTCTTCATTGTAAAGGGATCGCCAATCTGAATATCATGAATATTTAATTTTTGTTTCATTGTATACGTATCATTTACCCTTTCGAAGTTGGGATCGAGGGGTAACATCATCTTTTCAACTGCAACTGCGAGTTCGACCAGACCAGGCTTTAGATAGCCATTTACACTTACGCCACGCTCTTGCAAATATTTCTTTATCGCCGCTACGCTCATTGCCTTAAAGTTGGTATTTTTTTCTCCAGACATTGTATTTCTTGTTTACAACGACGCTATATGCGTATTACTTTGATTTCGCGAAGAAACAGTCTTAAAGTTTTGATGTATAGTGTGATCGCCTATTTATTTATATAGTAATGGCCGCCAAGTGTCCGCAATTCGCGCTTTTTGACCACGTGACACTACACGTGTTTCTAGGTCTGAAGTCGCAGATTACAATGGGATGCTAAAACTTTTCCCTAAAAAGTCCCTGACCAGCTGGAGTGCTGAAACTATTCAAATATCCTAGCAGGTTAGGTTCATCAGATTTTAGCTTTGCCAACCTGGCCACTCTGTTATTACAGTATTTAATGGCTCATTAGTAAATAATTTCAGGTCATTACTGTAAATGTAAATACAAAGTATTTGAAGTTAATACTGCTGTAAAATGTAGTTTAAATTAATAATACTGTATTAAAGTGTAAACACGTTTCTCACAGCGATAAATCAATATTGCAAATAATAATCATGTGAGAGTAGAACTTTACTGAGAGTCCGAGTATAGTATTATAGGCCATAGTCTGGCCATGTGTTTCTCAAAATTCAGCTAACTATATTAACAAACTGTATAAAATATATTACAGTAAATAGCCTTCGAAATATATATTTCATAGAGCTAGACAGTGTAACAAATAATGGGAATCTGCTAAATAATTTGTAACAATGAAATACTTCTAAACATTTTCAAATTCCTATATACTGTACCTTTTCATACTTGATGGAAATCATCACAAATAGTATGTACGAGATTGGCTCCATTTTCAATCACTGCTTCGAAATTCGAAACATCGCCTCCTCGGCGATTTACATGATGCGATATAAAAGAAGATTGATGTACATTCGACGTAATATATAAACGTAACATATTAAGAAGAAAGATTACAACAAAAAATAAAAGAATATAAATAATCCGCGGCAATCAAGTTCCATTCGTGTACTTTTCGTCGCCCCCCTATCTTTATTTCCACAAAGCCCGCTCGCAGGCTAATACTCCAAGAATCTTGGAGTATTTGCCTGACACGTGACCAGCGTTTACCAGGGCTATGTCGCCGCCTTCAATTCGCGACTAGCCCTGGGTACGAGGTTGGACGTAGGGCACTAAAACAATAGATTTGATGATGTCACGTTAGATTTCACGCGGAAAAGGACTCGGGACCGATGCATTCACTGATGCAAAATGGATGCCAATCGAATCTAACGTGACGTAGGTGATGCATTTTGCTTCAACTGTGACGTCAGGATGCGGTAAAAAAATAACATATTTTGTCGCGAAAATATTGACGCTTAAGTGTCGCAAAACAACAGAAAGTACACATTTGCGATCGCAATTCGCAACGTCGTATGTTGAACTTTAATATTTTGACAATTTCGACTGTTATTGAGACTATTTAAATTGGATTTCATCCTAAATAGTGTATTCCTGACATGGAGTCAATTTTAAGCAAAGATTTGCGGGTTGATAGGAGTTATTTTATTACTGTGTGCTTTGACTATTGGCGAATTATATATCTATATATTTCAAGCAACATGAATCATGATTTCTCAATTTTGACCGATGCATTCGCATCGCTGGCATCGGTCTGGATCCGCCCCTGGATTTGGTTAATTGTTTCCTAATGCCAAATGTTGAACATTTGTCTACACGTATTATCATTTCAGCCGACTGACACCAGATTGTAAAGCGATTGAGGAGCATTTGGTTTTCTTTTTCTTGGCCGCTAACAACAGCCGCATCGTCGGCAAACTGGAACCAATGAAGAGGATTTAATGGGGTACCGTTTTCGCTAGATTTCCAAAATCCAAGTTGACGGTATTTTTCCGATTTAATATGTTGGATAAAGGTATTGAAAGACATGTTGAATAAAAGAGGACTGAGACAATCGCCTTTAAGGACTGTAATGAAGGAAGTATTGAACTGTTCAGTTATTATGGAAGTTTGGAAATCAGTATAAAGACTACTGACAAGATTCTTTATGTGATCGGGAATGTGGTGATATTCAAGGACTTCATAAATAAGGTTATGGTGGACTTCGCCGAATGCATTTTTGAGATCTAATAGTGTTATGATAAGTGATCGTTGTTTTACTCGCGCTTTATTAATGATATGTGCCAACTGTGCTGTGTGTTCTAGTGTTCCTGAGAGTTTTGGAGTGAAACCTTCTGTATGTTCTGTTCAATGTAATTGTTTTCTGCAAGAAACTGAAATGTCCTGTTGCGAAGACATGATGTGAAAACTTTCAGTGGGACAGATTCGAGAGTAATGGGTCGAAAGTTCGCTGGGTTTGCTGTTTCTCCTTTTTTATGAATTAGAATCGTGCATGCTTTCTTCCATTCAGACGGGACAACACCGCAAGACCAGGCTGCGTGGATTATCTCAGTTAAGTACGAGCGTAAATAAGGACATCGTTTGTACTATAACATATACTATAACATACTACAACAATTTAGACTCACTTCCTTATATATACTAGTAATTAGTTATTAATGTAGTAGGATTATTTTATAAATAAATTATTATGCATAATAATAATAATAATAATAATAATAATAATAATAATAATAATAATGAAAACTTTATTTTGACATTTTATGTCTATACAATTATAAATCTCACTAATTAAGGTAATTTATAATTGACTACTTGAACTATTAATTATTGATAAACTATATTACAGGTATAAAACTAAGAGAAAGCTCATTCTTAAATGTTCATCAAGTCCAGATCGGTCCAATCCTTGTTTCTACAACAAAATATATAGTACGTTGTTCTGATGGCGATGGACATTATTTTCTTAACACAAAAGTTCTGATGTTTTTTATCAAGACCAACTTCGTTCAACATTTTCATAAACGTGTTACAGTCTTTTGAGAAAACACCTAAGGCACTAATAGACAAATTAATAAATTTGACAGTTTTGAAATGGTCTTTCTGCTGCGTAATTAGATCCTTGTATCGAAGACAAGATGTAAATACTTTTAAAGGTATGGATTCGAGTGTTATGGGGTGAAATTTGAAGGGTCATTATTGTTGCCTTTCTTGTGGATTAGTATGGTACATGCTCTTTTCCACTCAGTTGGGACAGTTCCAGATAGCCAAATATCGTGAATTAGCTCAGTAAGGTAAGTTCGCAGATAAGGACAATGCTTGAAACTTATTATAATAATAATAATAATAGTAATAATAATAATAATAATAATTCTTGTCATATAATAATAATTCTTTTTCTGTCGTTCCTTTTTTTTCTTTCTCTTTCCTTCTTTTCTTTCTTTCCCTTCTTTTCTTTCTTTCCACCTTTTTCTTCCTTCCCTTTTTTCTTTCTGCCAGCATAAAATATTTTCTGGGACCATTGGTCCCATGGTCCGCTATATTTTCCACCCCTGGATTGTAACCCCCCATGTAAATCTGAAACTTGCAATGCAATTTCTGATAAAAGGCGATGTGATTTAAAAATAAGTCACAGGGAAGTTGTGAGCATAGACCACAGTTTACTTTTATTATTTTCACTTCTTTCATTTTCCATCCATAAAAAGCATGTTATATTGTAAAGAAAGTGTCAGCAGAACAGAATGCTGGCCATGTTCAATTATGGCACTATTTTATCTGGCAGGTTTTGACAAGCTTGATCATTGTTGTCATTGACAATGGTTGCTTGTCCATGTGTTGTAGCCTTGAAGCTGCTAACTGTAAATGTAAACCTTGCTGTCCACACGTACTTTCTAGGATGCAGCACCTTAGTCTCCATCTCAAACATGCAAAATAGCACGACCTTGTTTCTTGCATGGAAACCCTGACAATTCAATTACTAATACTTCATGTTAAATCAATGTTTGGGAATTATAGGCGAGGGGTTGCAGGCATGCATATATTTCTAATTATTCGATCGACAGACTTTTGTGTTATCTCGTTGTATGATGTACTAAAAATGAAAATTTCAAAATAAAAATGCAGAAATTCCCATGAAATTCCTTTTAAAAACTTCATATCCTTACTAACTCCTTAAAAAGTTCAAAGTTTCCTCAGTTGAATGAAATTTCCTTAAGGTGGCTCCTCATATGCCAATCGTTCCTGGAGATTCCGCTTGAAACCGTATATAACATATTAATAATTAATGTATCTGTAAATGTTTATTGTTATTTTAATAACAACATTTTTTGTTTATCAAAATTTGTTTATTTTTTCTCTTTTCTCATTGGATGTTTTGGTCTATGCCGCTTGTTAGGCAACGGTATTTACTTGCTCAAATAGTTATCATTTAACGACTCATAGCTTACATATCATAATGACATAATTTGAAAGAGCTTAACGAAAGTGTTAAAGAAGAATATGCCATTTCCGATGATCTGGACACTAAAAATTTCTAGTCGGCCCCCCTAATTTTTACAAGCTTTCTACCCCCTTGGTTCAAGCTTTTTTAATAGACTTGTATGTCACAACTGACTTAAGTTTAGTATACAATCTTTATTTTTAAAATTTGCGCTTCAGTTTTTGAATATAATTTTAACTAGAAAATACATGCATGCAGAAACCCTCGCCTTGCTGACAAAACATTATGTTTTCTGAATATGAAGAATTGAAAGTAGTTGTCATGGTAACACGATAATTTTAAGAATAGTTTTAAACCTGGTTTTAAAATTGAAAAATCCCCCCCAAGTATCACTTTTAATAACAAAATTATCAATTTCCCAAACATATGTATGCCAGGTATGTTAGTATACGTAATATAAGCATTAATTTAATGTAAAATTCAACCACAAACGCTTCGGAAAACATTTTAAAATGTTCTCAAAACTAAACGGCCTTTTATCGAATTATTGGTAAACATTGAGTTTGAAATAAGCTGATTTCAAATTCTCGCATGAAAATAACTTTGCTTTCCTCTTTATTTAAATACTTTAATATACAAAAGAAAAGGTAATTGATAAAACTACACTGAAATTATATGCTGTCTTTTTTCACTTATATACGCAATGATAGGTTTAGTTCGATATTC